TGTTAGTGAGGTTCTGTCCTGTTTATGTGTAGGTGTTAGTGAGGTTCTGTCCTGTTTATTTTGGGCCCCTGGGTCAGGCAGTTCACAAACTGGTGGTGACCCAGGAACAGACAGGAACAAGGCAGTAAATGATGCCTTCATGTCTGTAACATTTCCTATTATAGCCCCCAGCAGGGGAATGGTGAGAGGAGTGGAGAGTAAAAGTTGATGCTGATAACTTCCCATAGTCTGCTTTGTACCAACTAGATTTTATCATATTCACTCAAATGAGAAACAGAAGTAAAGATAAACAGAGAGAATGTCTCAGTGAATCCTAATTCTCTCCCAGTTTAAAAGGGTTATTACAACACAGCTCACTCTTTAAGAATGATCAGATTTGGTGATAGAAATGGCCAAACAATGTCAAATGTCAGATAATTAACTTTGTTCCTCAGCATCTTATGAACTAATGTGCATAAGTGCATTTTTGTTAAGACTTATAAATATTCCAAACAAAAACAAAGATGCTGGCGATCTGACACAAACAGAAATCATCAACTACTGGAGAAACTCAGCAGGTCTGGCAGCATCTGGGAGGGAGAAACAATGATAATGTTTCAAGTTTAGTTCTGAAGAAGTGTCATACCAGGTGGGAAATGTTAACTTTGCTTCTCTCTCCACAGATGTTGCCAGACCTGCTGAGTTTCTCCAGCAATTTCTGTTTCTATTTGTTGTAAATATCCCATTTCATTTCAGAATCCCTTCAAATCATTGGGAAGTAAGAAGATTCACTCTAAGACAAAAAGTCACAACTTCTCCAACTTGAAATACATATTCATAGTTTCAGCATAAATTATAAAGAGAATAACAGGTGACTAGGAGTGTGTTGAGCCATCTAGAAATTTTCAAATTTAATATTTGAAAGACAATCCAGTCACTTGCTTTTCAAATATATAAAATTCCATACTAATTTTGAATTTTGTTCTTATTCTTTGGACCATCAATAATTGCCACAACTTTGAAACCTAAGCTTAGGTGAAAAATAAATTTGAATTTTAATGCAAAATAAATTAACTTGGGGCCTATATGAACATAATAATTTTTTTATCAGACGACTTGCTCAGTCATCAGTTCTGCAATCCCTGCTCTTCAGAGAATACCCATTGTCCAACAGCTCAAATGTAAAATTATTGTCCTCAACTTCAGACATCTGTGGTCTCTCCTTTGGATTTCAGCTTTCTCCTTTCCTCTTGTTGGTGAAATCTTCACCCTAGCAGAGCTCTAATCGATAGAATTCTTTCCTTATGTTTTCTGTATCTCCATCTCCTTTCTCAAAGCTCATTTATCTGAAGAGGTTTTTGACGATCTCCCTTAACCCTCCCACAGGTTAATTCTATTCTTCCCTTAAGCAATTTGGAGTTTTTCCTTCATCTTAAAGGTATCAAATGCATGTGAATTGCTTAAGTTATATAAAAGATAATAGACGGAGTACCTTTCAGAAACATGAAACTCTGTTTTACTCAACTGCAAATCTCCTGAGTGTATTTTAACTGACCATTAATAAGCTGATTTATGAAATTCTGAGTGGCGGTATAAATGGATGTTGTTATTCCTCTTTTTCAGACATACTCAGGTCTTTTCTGTGTTGTCGTAAACCCATACAAAATGTTGCCCATCTACACTGAGAAGATTGTTGAAATGTACAAAGGGAAAAAGCGACATGAGATGCCACCCCATATCTATGCCATTGCTGACACTGCATACAGGAGCATGCTGCAAGGTAAACACACAATACCCACCTACTGTCTGTGCTTTTACCACTGAACCTGGTTAAAGCCTGTTGCCAGAGCATTTTTATGTCTCACTGTGAAAAGAAAGCTGTCGATGAATTAACTTACAGTCACTAACCTCTCTACAAAATTTCAGCAGATTAGTACACTGTCATTACTGCAGAATTAGAGTTTAGTTTTACTGGGTCTTGGAATTGTTCTAATCGACTCCAAAACAGGAAACCATTAAAATGAAACCAGCAAAGAAAATTGTTTGTCATAAACGTTGGTAAATTGATGTTTTACTTGTTTTGACTTTTTCTGTTAGCTGTCATAACATGAAACTGTTGATGAAATTTGTCCTACAGTACTATTGGGACAACACTGTAAAATGTGTTTGCCTGAAAGACATTACTCTTGCTTCTTTATTGTATTTAAAATTAACAGAAAATAACAGACAGTCCGGAGTGACTATAGATCACAACCCTACACAAAAGATGTCATCAACCACCTTAACTCTAGGATTACAACTTTAAAATCACTCTCTGGTACCTATTATCTTTTATATAACTTAAGCAATTCACATGCATTTGATACCTTTAAGATGAAGGAAAAACTCCAAATTGCTTAAGGGAAGAATAGAATTCACCTGTGGGAGGGTTAAGGGAGATCGTCAAAAACCTCTTCAGATAAATGAGCTTTGAGAAAGGAGATGGAGATACAGAAAACATAAGGAAGGAATTCCATCGATTAGAGCTCTGCTAGGGTGAAGATTTCACCAACAAGAGGAAAGGAGAAAGCTGAAATCCAAAGGAGAGACCACAGATGTCTGAAGATGAGGACAATAATTTTACATTTGAGTTGTTGGACAATGGGTATTCTCTGAAGAGCAGGGATTGCAGAACTGATGACTAAGCATGGTGACTGAGATCAAATGGTGACTCAGCGAGGTGACTGAGACTGAATGGCGACTCAGCGAG